CATAATTTCAATAGATGCAAAGTCTCCCTGATGAAGCAGGGAAAGATCGGTCTGAACCGATTCCATCTTGAATTTTTAAAGGTCAGACTAAAGCATTACGAGCTTTAAGGTAAAAGAGTTGAAAGCCTTCTGTTCGGTTGTAGAACTGAACAGATTGGAGTAGAACCCTGGAAACCTTTCCGAGATGCAACAGCTACTATGCATCATCCCTGGGAAACAGAACCTAAATGGTATGATGTAGGCCCACCAAATGTGGGAATACAAGACAGGATAGAGAAGGGTGGAGATGAAATTCTGCTCCAAATTCTGAACAGCTTTCCAACAAACATATCACCAACTTTTATTAAATAGCTGGGGCAAATATTCATGTAGCTAAAGATTGGCAGTGGGTTTGGATCTCTTGGTTTCCTTCTGGCTTTTAACCCCTTTGTGACGGGAGACGTACACTGTACGTCCAGCCACAAAGGGACCAAATGACTCGTCACGTACACTGTACGTGACGAGTTATTTGCTGCACTAGAAGGCTGCTAACCGCTGAGAATCAGCGGTTACCTTTCAGTAATAGATGTCTAACTATCTAGAGATCCATTACTGAAAGGGTTAACCTTTTTCAGACACCCAATACCTTAATATCGGGTGTCTGAGAGTCACAGCAAAGCAGAGACACATGTCGGCTTTTGCCGGCATTCTGACAGCTCGTATAGATCGAGAGATATCTCTCTCAAGCTATACTGGCTTTTTTTTTTTTTAATCTTTTGACTTTCAAGAATAGATACAAAATGTTATGTATTAGACACATAATGTATCTATTCTTGAAAGTAGAATGTTTAAGTTTTCTGAAACATTCACTGACAGCTGAATCCTGAACTGCTGCAGGATCAGTGTCACTAACTTATTATCGGCTGTTCTGAAGTTTGAAGCAGCCTGATAAAAAAAATGTATTAATTTATCAAGCAGTAATAGTGAGATTAATTCACAATGACTGCCTGATATAATTAAATAAATAAAATTTGTCAGTATAAAAAAGTGAAAAGTGTAAATAAATTAAAAAAAATAGTGAAAAGTGTAAAAAAATTAAAAATAAGGGACAAATAAATGAATGTATGTATTGCATTTTTTTTTAGCTGTGCTGGTTTTGTTAAAAAAAAATACTACAAATCAAAACTGGGAAAAAAAGTTTTTTTTTACGTTTTTTCCTCTTTTTTTAATTTGTATTTGTCCTAAGTGAGGCGTTAGACACACATATGTGATATAAATATATAGCCCTATCTGTCCTCTAAAAAACAATATATAATATGTGTGGGTGCACTTTGTAAGAAAGTATATTACTGACGTGGAAGAATCACACAGCAAAAATGTCAAAAGTGTGTCAGTCATTTACGAACAGAAACCAAAAACAAGCTCAGTCATGAAGGGGTTAAAAGGAACTCAAGAGGCGGCCGAGGTCTAGAGTAGCCATGAGCCAGAACTGGGGCTGCATGATCAAAAGAGACTTCAGGAAGATGAGGGCATAGACATATGAATATATCCTTACCTATGGAGATTTGAGGAAGATGGGCACTCACACACACCCTATGAAATTCCTTATGTTTATGCCCAGCCCTGTAGCAATTTTCCACAAAGGACAGGCAATATCTAAATAGAGGAGAGGTTATACGAGACATCCCAGTCTCATTCCTTGTCACAAAAACCTCAGCACATTCCAAAAAATGGGTATGAGCGCCAATGTGTTTGACCAACCATCGAAGATACCAGATTTGTGGCGAGACCAGCAGAGGTTGCATCACCTTGCTGAATGCTATGCGTCATACAAACCAAGTCCTGAGACTGTTCTTAGAATAGGACCAGGTAAATCTTTGATCTTCAGTTTAATATGGACCACCTCTATAAAAAGGAAGAGTACCTTCTTTTGCTTTGGCAAAATGGCTGTGTGCTGTAAACCAGTCTAGGCAGGCTACTCACCCACAGAGGATAGAGACTTGGCTTCAAATAACTTCTGCAGAGGGATCTTAGACAGTCTAAGAACTGGGCACCTGACAAGGTTCTGCAGAAAAACACAAAGGAAGCAAACTCCATAAGTGCCAAGCTCTACCTTTCAAATTTGTGCAGCCAAACTGCTCCAGCAGACTTCAAGAGCGTTTGGACCTGGTGACCAAGCCCCAGGTCCAGTTATCGCTGCTGGTGGAGTTAAGTCACCCTAGTTTCCTACGGTCACACTATCTCCCTTTGGAGTATGAAAGCAAGGATACTGGAGGAACAGTGACTCCACATGTTTAGGCAGAGGAAGAAAGAATGATGGGACTCTGTGCGCACACATGCACGATTCCAACCTCATCAACACGGCTTAAGGAAGTTAAGGCCAGCAACATGGTGGCAGGCTTAAAGGAGCATGCCGAGCAGCAAACACACCTCTCAAGGTCCCAGAGTAATAAAAATGAGGGGAAGGGATCCACCCACCTGAAACACATCATCTACAATTAGAATAAAAAGGGTGGTCCCTCCTAATCACCTCAGTATTACAATAGAACTGAAGGACAGAAAGGACCACCAGACAGTAACAATGAAATTCATGTTGAACCACTTCCCTCAATAAGCAGGGCGGGAATCCATGCTGCCCTGGAAGATTCCTGGAAAAAAAGTTACCAGGTACCTAACTAGGTTCTTTTTTTTTTTACGTACATTGGTGATCTCACTGCTACAACCCTGCATTGGTATTCATGGATGTGTCAAAAGCAGGATTCTGCTACATGTGTCAAACAAGTAAAACTAGATTCACTGCAGTTGCTCTTCCGTTCACAGAGCAGTGTACCACCTGACAATTTCCCCAGTCATCTTTCAGGGCAGCATCTGAGAGGATAAACTAGAAATTAGCATACTTTTTTTTCGGGGGGGGAGTGGGGGTGACGACGACACACACTGGCAAGAGCACTATCACAACAGATGGATTGTAACTCTGCAGTGCTACACCAAAGATTGTAACTCAGCTCAGTGACTTCCTTACAGATTTTATCTGGCGAAAAAAAACATAGCTCCTCTGCCCAAGATGAGTCCCAAGCCCTTACACACACACACAGTGCTGCCCAAGTAGCAGGAACCCCAAGATTGTCTGGAGGTGTCCACCAGAATGGCCAATCACCTGTGTAGCAGATCCACCCAGATGAATTGAATTTCACTGGACAAAACTCAGTAGTAGTGAGAAAATTTGGTGAAGCCAAGGAACTGCAGAAAAAAATCCCTATTAGGCCCCATTCACACTGCGCGATTCGCGCGTTTGTCGTGCGATTTGCATTTTGTGCGATATCGCGCAAATGCTTGCATCAAAAAGCATTGAATCGCGGCAAAATCCGCTCCAGAAAGGGTCCTGCTTTAGCGACACACGACCCGCAACAGCAGGACCCTTTGCCCCATAGCCAAGCATTGGAGCGCGATATCGCGCGGTAAATAGCCGCGATATTGCGGGAATTACCGCGCAATAAAAATCACTCAATGTGAACGGGGCCTTACTTCTGCAAAGGTAGCGCAGGCTACAGCTATAGTATTGATGTTGTGCAAGGATCTCTATGCGTTGGTCCTCATCACAACAGAGGCTATGGTATATCCAATTATTTGACTACTATTCGGTGTATGCCAAATACATAGAGCCTTATCTGGTTTAACTCTAGTGGGAAATCAATGCTTTTGTTATATAAAGGAAAAATATAACAGCACAACCCAAATGTCAGGAATCGCCCCAGCTTGTCTGGAGATTTTCACCAGTGCAGACAGCAAGGTCATTCACCTGTGGAGTAGTCCCACCCAGGTGAAAACAAAAAATTAGAAAATCTCATCCTATACCGAATACATAGAGCCTTATCAGGATTAACCCTTATGGGAAAGCAAGGCTCTTGCAACATAAGGGCAAAAATATAACCGTGCAGCCCACTTGGCAGTAAGAGCTCCAGATTGACTGGAGGTTTCCCCCAGTGCTGACAGCAAGGTAATTTACCTGTGCAGCACGCGCCCCCAGGTGAAATAGCCTATCTGCAAAGCCTGTAAATTGCACATTTGTCTGCCTCTACAGGTAAAACAGGGTGATCCAGTCGCCACCCCAATACCTCAACATATTCAAGTGAAAAAAGGGGAATAGGAATAAAAATAAACCATTCCGTGTCTTAGCCCCACTGAAAACATGTCTTGGGGTACTGTATACATGCAGTGTTTTACCAGTACGTTGTCTGCAGGCATAAGAACATGGCTGAGCACCACAAAACACACCTCATTACCTCCACCAGAGTGTGGCCCTGCAGTCTCAGGATTTCTATGAAACTGGCGCTGCTAGGAATACTTTCCAGTACAAGGTGTACATTAGAGCGGAGAGTGCAGCGAAAGTCTAAAGAAAAAGTGTAACAGCCAGGCTGTCCTAAATAAAATACTGCTAGGATCCATCCCCAGTCCCTGGGGAGCCAGATCCTGTCTGTGTGAGAGCGATAGGACCATGGACTCAATCTCGTGCATGCCCCTCATTTGAGATATACAGATCTGGCAGAAAAGCTTGGCCCGGAAAAAAAAACAATTTGTCAATGCAGGAAGCACATCTGGTTTCTGCTGGCAGGGGCTTATCCTCGGAGGCCTATACTTATGCCAAAAAAGGGAAGGGCTCAGAGCTTGCCACCCGAGACCAGACTACAAAATAAAACAAAAGCAAAAACAATGTTTTGCTTTTTTACTTAAATATTTAAATAGAAAGGTGACAAGCTGGTTATTTTATGTATAGCCCATTTAAGCTGATCTTCAAGGCTCCCTCATTTGTAGTTTTACTTAGAAGTTGTAAATATTTTTGATATACATAGTGTTTTTTGTATTTTTTATGCCATGTTGCAGAGAAATAAAGCCAGCCCTTTAAAGCATATATGGAAGTATTTCGATAGGCAAAACTGTTTAACCATATAGTGGCAACTATTCAGTTAAAGCAATGTTTCAACTGTATAAACTGAGCTGAAAACCTTGACATATTCTTTTACCTAAATCGCTGAGCTTGCTGAGCAAGTGGTCCTGGGTATCTTCGATTTGGAGACTGGTATAATTGTGACAGAATGGTGTGGTTCACTTTTTGGCTTGGATTGTTGGCAAACTTGACTGTTATAGGTTCAGTAGCTCCTGGAGGCTTCTGTCCATTTAGGCCTTTAATAGCTTCCTCGGCCTCAATTCTTTTGTCAAACCGAATAAAGCCAACTCCCCTTGATACACCTATAAGGGCACAAACAAGAAACTGATCAAAACACTTAGAAGATATAACAGCAACATACAATCACATGCAGGAGGTTCCTAACATCTTTACATTGAAAATCCACAAATACCTGAAGTATATATGTTTTTGCATCTTTGCAGATCTACAGTATATTTGTACCTAGTTTTAAACTAGTGATCATTACCCCTTGCTTCATCAATTGTTCCTTAATAGAACTCATTCACTGTACGCTTTTGTGCACTGCCCCATATAAACCTGTTACCTATCGCTGGGCTATCTTTAGAGAAGTCTGCTGTTGGGAATCAATGTGGTTTAAGCAGTGAACACTATCCCTGACTATAAATCTGTAAAACACAAAGATATAAAATACAAATAAAAGTTCAGTATTCATTAAAACATCCTTAAATGTAATTATTAATGCAAGCAGTATAAGTAGCTGAATTTGACTTTCTTAGCGTCTGGCAATCTCTGTACACCACAACTCAGACTAGGGGCAGCAACAGCAGCCAGCCTACAATTCACAAGTCCCCATGGAGAGTCTGCCTGAAGTTTGACTTACATTTGTGTTCAAAGGCCTCCTGGGACAGTTGGGAGCAATAAGAATCACTATAATGATCTCAATCTCTATCCTGCAAAAAAGTTGAGGCAGATGTTCCAGAGGAGGGAAGATGCAGATCAGGTGTAACTGATCCCACTGAGTCACCGAGGTGTCCACCATGACGGCTCAGTAATCCCTGGTTCTGGCAACAAAGCCGCCTGGTTTGTTGTTAAACCTGTACACTTGGAGGCCCATGTACAGTGTCCATTACCTGTGGGAAAGGGCTTGAAACAGTCTTGCTAAAAACAAGCAGATGGGGCGACCTGGGGAATCGAACCCGTTTCACTCTGCTAGGATGTTGAGCTATAACAACCTGAAGTGAAACAAAGCATAGAGAATCACCTCGTAGGAGGTCATCATCAGGCTCAGGACCTTAATGAAAAGTAAATGGCAATGAATTCCTCGGCGACTACTGAATGGGCTGGGCTCATTAACCTCCCTGGAGGTAATCCCGAGTCTGGCTCGGGGTTAATTTTCAATGCTAGGAGCGGTAAACCCCGAGCCAGACTCGGGGCTGCAGAGAAAAGTGACACTCACCTTGTCCCTGCGAGCCCGCGGCGTCCTCTGCTGTACGCGGACCAAAAATGAAACTAAAAGCCGGCATTTGACTTTTACAGTAATACCTTGGTTTACAAGTAACTTGGTTTGAGAGTGTTTTGCAAGACAAGCAAACATTTCTGAAAAATGTTGCCTTGATATACAAGCAATGTCTTGCAATAAGAGCAAAATTTTGTAGAAAAGCACCACCCGAATAAGGCTGTAGCAGTGCGAGCGATGAGTCTGTTTAAGGACAATGCAATGTCACATTGGATAGATTCCTTGTTAAGGTTTCACGAAATGAAAAAGATTCCATTGAGTCAAGAGATAACAGTGATTCCGTTAGTGATAGTGAAAGTCGTCCTACCCAAAAATCCTCCTCTCTTGTCCCCCTCACACCAGCCACGAAGGTACCGGTACTTGGTTTATTTTTCGTTATATTTTGTACAGTATTATATTACAGTACTGTATTGTAATAATTTTATATGAATATTTTTAGGTTGCGGAACGAATCATCTGAATTTCCACTATTTCCTATGGGGAAATTCGCTTTGATTTACAAGCCCTTTGGATTACAAGCATGCTTCCGGAACGAATTATGCTCGTAAACCAAGGTATTACTGTAGTTTCATTTTCGAGCGTCTCTGCAGGTGGGAAATTCAAAAGTGAAAAGTTGCAATGTACCCAGAATACACAGTGATCGCTCGGTGATGTGCGAACTTGGTACTCTATTGACTGTGGTACGGATCAGGCTGCGCCCCCAGAATTCCCATTTACAGGACCATTTTTTTAAATTACATTATCATTTTTTATAATTATTTATTATATTATAATTTCTTAAGAGGTTAAATGCAATTTCGAACGACAAGTTTCTGATGCCAGTATCAAACATTCCGACTATTTTTTGAAATGTTCATGCAAAATTCTACCTCTGTATACCCTACTTTAGGAACATCCTGAGAGTTTATGTTGACTATACAGATCAGCAAACCAGAAGGCAAAAGGTTTTCTGTTCCGACAACCCCTGCAAAAGTGGACTTTTGTTTATTTTGTTCTACAGAGAAAAAGAAAAGAAAAAAAACCTCTGAACACTTTCACAAATAAAAGTGTGTTTATTCTTTTTTTTAATTAACAAAATGTAAAGTAAATTAAGATAAAAAAAATGGAGAAATCAAATCAAACTATTATTTGGTGTGACCACCCTTTGCCTTCCAAACAGCATCAATTCTTCTAGGTACACTTGCACTCAGTTTTTCCAAACATCTTTTCTGTGGATGTAGGCCACCTCAAATCCTTCCGTCTCCTCAGGTAATCCCAGACACACTATGTCAAGACTAGGGCGCTGTGGAATCCAAACTATCACTTCCAGGACTCCGTGTTCTTTATGCTGAAGATAGTTCTTAATGACATTGGCTGAATGTCTGGGGTCATTGTCCTGCTGAAGAATAAAATTGGGGTGAATCACACGCCTCCCTGATTGTATGTCATGATGGATAAGTATCTGCTTGTTTTGCTCAGCATTGAGGACACCACCGACCCTCACCAAATCTCCAAATCCATTTGCAGAAATGCAGCCCAAGACTTGCAAGGAACCTCCACCATGTTTAACTGTTACCTGCAGACACTAATTTTACCTCTCTCTAGCTCACAAACTGCCTCCTGCTACACACAACTACTTCAAATTTTAACTCATCAGTCCAGAGCACCTGCTGTCATTTTTCTGCTCCCCAGTTCCTGTGCTTTCATGCATAGTTTAGTCGCTTGGCCTTGTTTCCACATCAGAGGTATGGCTTTTTGGCAGCAATTCTTCCATAAAGACCACTTCTGGCCAGACTTCTCCAGACAGTAGATGGGTGTACCTGGGTCCCACTCGTTTCCGCCAGTTCGGTGCCGATGGCTTTGGAATCTTTGCCTGGGAAAGACCTTGCTGATGCAGTATAACTACCTTGTGTCTTGTTGTTATACGGCCTGTGACATGAAACAGTTTTCCACTAACTCACCTTAGTAGCAGTTTGGCTGTTCCGCTCTTAGTTTTAAGCCTCCTACACAGCTGTTTGTTAATGACCGTTTCAACCTACCTATTAAATTGATTAGCACCAGCTTGGTATAGTTGGTTAATCATAAACATGACTCTTATCCTACAAAATCCCTGACTTTGTGCAAGTGTCAAAACTGATAATGGTTTAAAGCCAAAGGGTAGTTACAACAAATATTTATTTGATTTAGATTTTTTTCTGTTCACTCACTTTGAATTTTGTAAATTGATAAACATTTTTGAAAGCATTCTTTTACATTTTTGAGCACCTGCCTAAAACCTTTGCAAGGTACTGCAGATCTATAAATAGATTCACACACATAGGGGGCAATAGTTAAAAGGAGGATTGTACCTACTCCAATGACTGCACTCCAACAGACAAACCCTAGGCCCAGACACGATCACTTGGAGAGGGTGACATCACTGCTCTTGATAGTAAGAGTCTATAGGAAATTTTGTGTCGGGTATGAAAAAAAGTTTGAGGGGTTTGCTGGAAAAGTGAATGTCGCTGGGTCGTTAATGTAAATTAATTAGGCCTGGGCAGCCAGTACTAAAGATTTAATTTGCCAAGATGAGACTGGGTTGGAAGGCATTTTTCTCTAAACTTGGGGCCTAGTTCTCAAAGGAACTTATTTAAATAAGTCGGTTACTTTTTTTCGGTTTTAAAATTTCATGTCGGTGCACCTCTAGTATTTTGTATTACAAATGTTTATGTTGATTACATTATGTTGTTTGTAATAAGCATGAAGGTGTTAAAATAAGCACAAATTATATCATCCTTTTTTTTCCCCTTCTCCTCAAACTTTCTATACGCTATTGTTTTAAGGAGATGGTATTTTTTTTTTCATGTCTGGAACTAGACATGTAGCTAGTAAACCCGACCACCACTGAACAAGACACACAAGTTGAAACATCAAGACTATGCCAAAAAATGTCTGAACAGATTTTTTAAAGGTTTTATGGACTGATGAGATGGGCGTGACTCTTGACAGACCAGATGGATGGCTGGATCAGTGACGGGCACAGAGCTCCACTTCGACTCAGACACCAGCAAGGTGGAGGTGAGGTACTGGTATGGGCTGGTATTATTAAAGATGACCTAGTTGGACCTTTTCGGGTTGATGGACTCAAAATCAACTCCCAAACCTACTGCCAGTTTTTAGCAGACACTTTCGTCAAGCAGTGGTACAGGAAAAAGTCTCCATCTCTCAGGACCACCATGATATTTATGCAGGACAATGCTCCATCGCATGCATCGAAGTACTCCACTGTGTGGCTAGCCAGTAAAGGCCTTAAAGATGAAAGAATAATGACATGGCCCCCTTCCTCAACTGACCTAAACCCTATTGAGAACTTGTGGTCCTTCTTAAACAGGAGATTTACAGTGAAGGAAAACAGTACACCTCTCTGAACAGTGTCTGGGAGGCTGTGGTTGCTGCTGCACAAAAAGTTGATTGTCAACAGATGAACTGACAGACTCCATGGATGGAAGGCTGATAACTTATTGAAAAAGGGGGGCTATATTGGTCATTGACTGTTTTTGAAAATGCCAGAAATTTTCATTTGTAAATTTTGAGTTGTTTATTATTCTCATTTTAATGGGGAAATTCTCGTTTTCCATTTAGTTGCATACTAATCCTGCACACTAATAGTTGCCCAATAATTGTGCGCACATCGATATTCTCCTACGAAAGCCAAAACCTCACTTTCTTTCTTATTGAGGTGAGGTTTTTAACATTTTGGATTGACCGAGAGCACTGTATCCTCAAAAATACACCTTGCCTACTAATTGTGCAAACCGTGTAGAAGAGAACCTGAACAGCTGTCCC